TAAATTTGATTTCCATCGTTATCAGCAAATATAATAAAATGAGAATAAAACACCAATTTCGTATCATTAAAGAGATAATCTTATGTTCGATTAGAAAATTTCATTGAATTTATCGAATTTTCAATCTGATCGGCTCTAATATGAAGGTCGAAAACGGTAGAAAACAGTAACCAGGATTAAACAAAAACCTTGGTTGAATAGATATTTACTCGTCATAGATCGTTTTATAATGTAAGTAGCTGATTTTAGTGTTATATGGATAGAATTGGAATGTTTAAATGCATATTGATTAATTGTTGTCTAGTGGAGAGTTTGAAAAGTTCGAACTAAACTAATCATATCTATGATTAATTGATAAAATATTTTCAATAAATAAATTTCTTTAATAAAATAATATTCGATGTATATATCTATTTTATTAAAAAACGTTATTATAAAAGATATATTAGAAATAAATAAGTGGACGAGTTTCACCTTGAACAAGTTATCCTCATCGTTGATCAAGGTTGACCACATGATTTCAGTTGTTGTGGATGATTAGATAAAAGAGTTGTTGGTATATAATCATAATAAATTTTTCATTTGATTTATTGTTTTTTTTTCTGGTATATTATCTTTAAAATATTTTTTTTCACTTTTATTATTGAATAGAATTTAAAAGTAATTCGATAAGATGATTATAAACAAGTACACGACGTCTATTTTATTTAATAAATTGATTAATTGTTAAAGGTGCATGTCGATATTTATTTTTCAAACGGTTATTTCTAGTAAAAACTTTTCCGAGAATTTTTATTAATAATAACGACTAATAAAAAAGAGTTGATTGATTGAGTGGTTCTCAACTATTTAAAACATATTCTCATTGACTTGTTAAATAAAGTATAGAATTATGACCAAATTCATTTAAAGACGTTTTTATAAAAGACGATTAACATTTTGTTTTATATAGAATTGAGATGATTTCCCTTATAATAAAAATCAATTTGTTTTTGTAAAAAACCTATTTGTTTATCATTAATCATTGAATAATATCGACAATTGATAGAAATTCGAATAGGATATCTTGAATTTTCCATAACGGTTATATTTAAGTCGATGAAAAGGAACCATCGATTGATCTTCAACAATTTTTTTATTTTTCAATACGACCTTATTTTGTTTTCTTTTCATTTTGATTAACGTCGTTCAACTAATTGACCATGAATTATTCAATTTAATGTTGATTATTCTAAATTAGACATCGAAATTTATAAATAAATAATAAATATTCAATTATCTTTGAATTCAAAATTCAAAATTGACAATATCAAATAGATAAATCTGTTTAATGATATTATTTCAATAAACTATAAATGAAACGTTGCTTCTTATATCTCTCAAGAGTTTTTATTATTTGTTATGTTAATGATTTATTTAGTTTAAACAAATGATGTTATGTTTAGAAATAGTATACTATTAGACGAAACTTATTAATATCGTTATCATAGAAATAAATCATCGGATTTTAAAATCAGATCTACTTTTATTTCGAGTACTCTTTTATCTAACATAAAAATCTTCTTAATCATTATTTTTATTCAACAAAATCAATAGATTTATAAACGTTTCTACAATTGGAAACTCTCGATAAGGAAGATCTAGACACTTCCTATCAATATATTCCTTTTTCTTTTTTTATACAACTTTCAGTCAAATTTAAAAGGTGCAAGAGAACATATTAAACTATTCGATATAATATTATGGTTAGGAGTAGATCTTGGTCAGGTTAAGAAAAAGTTCAAAGAATAGAGACCTTTTTTTTTTTTTTTTTTTTTTTTTTATTTTTGCTTCAACTGATGGTCCTAAGACCCTAGCAGTACAAATAGTATAACGAATATAACAAGAAATGAGCAGAAGAAGAAGAAATCATATAACGAACAACATAAATAGGGGGAAACAAGAACATAAATAGGGGAAAGTGAGTTGTTACAATACGCAGAGAGAAAAGAAAACAGAAATGAACATAAATAAAAAACGTCAGAAGGAATCAGGAAATTCCCCGAGAACATCGATATCACGTATATCATAATCAATAATAGAATAAGAAGAACGATTAGAAGAGCACCATTGTACACATTTTTCCAAAACAGATCTATGTTGTACATATCTCTTAGACCGATACAGGCCCTTTATTGATAATTCTTTTAGCAGCCAAGCTTTTCTCCATTGATTTAAATTCGCCTGCTCAAGTAGTAGTTCGCCGTCCACTGAATCAGATAGTGCAGTGAAATAACGTTCCCAATAGTTACTACACCTATCTTCCAGAGAGATTTCATCGAAAACGTACGCAAAGAAAGGATCAGACCAGTGGAGGCAGTGAAAAATTCTTCTAAGTGAAATATAGTAGAAATGAGATAAATCATTTTGTTGCTTCTGTGTGAAAAGGGGGAAGCGAGCAAATAACCACGTAAATAATGGAAGTACATATGACTGAAATAGCGTTTTTCTCAATGAAGCGGATGTGGTTCCTGCAGAACGAAATGAATTTACTAGGGAAATTTTCTGCCGAATCTTAACTAAGGTGTTATTGATCATAGTGCTCCAACCTAACTTTGGTGTAATCCAATATCCCAGGTATTTAAACTGTTTGACCCATTCAATTTTTACATCCCCATAATGGATGTCAAATTTAGAAGGGCCAATTGCTCGTGCGGACCAGAGAGCTTCTGTTTTATTAAGATTAATCAGCTGAACTGTAAGAATGGAGTAAAATTCTAGATCATCTAAAAATCTTTTTAATCTTTTTTCGAGATCAATACATTGAAGAGTAAATTTATCACCTATTCTACCGCCAAGTACAGCTGCAAGGTCGTCAGCAAAAAGGAAGCTGGAGCATATATTAAGGAAACCGGTAAGATCAGAGTGGTACGTGATGAATAACGTTGGGGTAAAAATTGAACCTTGAGGGCCACCACGATCAATTGGAAACCATCTAGACTTTTCTCCTTTAATTTCGATATATGCTCTCCTCTGAACTAACCAAGCCTCAATCCAATTAAGAAAGGATTTAGGGATGCCCATTCTTCTTAGTTTACCTAAACAGCCCTCAAACCAAAGTTGGTCAAAGGCGCTTTTAAAATCAACAAATATCGTAGCTACAGGGGAACTGTTTGCCATTAAGGCAGAGACTTGTTCCAGGAATAATAACACTCTAGTTTGTAAACGAAATTTTTCACGAAATCCTGACTGTGTGTCGGGTAACAGCCCTCGTTTATGAATAATATCACGAAATCTAGTTAAAAAAAGTTTTTCGTCAATTTTCAAAAAGATATCTAATAATGAAATGGGTCTTGTTAATGCGGGTGCACAAAACGACTCTTTTTTGGCAAGCAGAAGCATCCTAACATCCTTCCAAGCTAATGGTAGACGAGCTTCAGAAAAAGACCAATTGAAAGTTTTCAATAAGAGACACCAATAGGGGATTGGTAGAAAATTAAACATAAAGTTACATAGTCCATGAGCATCACAGGATTTCTTTTTATTTCTGGCATTGACAATTTCGAGAACTTCTTCAAGGTATACAGGTGGAATTGTTTCTTCATCGTTTTCCCACACCGGCCACGGCGCGTCAGTGTAAGGATGGGGTCTGTATATACTATCAGGTTTTTTGAAGAATTCTTCATAGAAGTCTGCCGCAGTATTTGACATGTCCACAGGATCTTTAATGATATTGCCATTTGGCAGAATAAACCCCCTTAGAGATGCTGAGGGCGGTTTAAAAAATCTCTTGGTTTTCGACCAAAAGGAAACAGAGATAGGAGAGGAGGTGTTCCGCATTCTTAATGAAGAATTTAGCTGAGAATAAACGAAATCTTTTAGCTCTTTCTTAGCTATTTTTCTGAGATCCCGAACAATATCCTTTAGGTGTGGATCGCGTGATCTGATTTGTCTAAATGAGAGAGCACGAATGTAAGACAAAAATGATCGTAATTCTTTTGGAATTGCTATTCTATATTTTTTAAGGGGAAAGTGTTTAGTACATCGGACAATGAGAAGAGAAAGAAAAGTAATATAATCGTTGTAAACCTCGTCTAGGTTGTTCAGACTCCATCTAGCTTCCCAGAAACTATAAACATACTCAGAAAAGGAGAAAAATACTTTCCAATGAATAGAACGACCCAAAATATTTTCAGAATTTTTGAACGGAATTATGGAGAGAAGAGGTCTATGATCACTAGTGGTGTTTCCACTATATGATTGAATATCAATGGTAAATCCACTTCCGAATGCAAAATCTATAATTCGATCAGATCTAAGAGAAGTAGATGACTCAGGTGCAAAGGGTGCTAGAAAATGGGCATCAGCCCAGGCTAATAGCGCTTCGGCTTTAGAATTATCTTTTCTTAAATCAATGTTAAAATCTCCGTATAACGCACACTTCGGCTTTATGAATTGCGATATATCATCCCATTTCCAGCTACGACTTTCGGGGGTATAGATACCAATTATCCGCACTTTATCTTCATCAGCATAAATATCAACAACACAAATATTCGGAAGAGAGCAACAAATTCTTTCTGATTTCAGTGTCTTCCTAACCATCATCACCACCCCTCCATTACTATTTTCACCTTTTTGGTAATAGATATTGAAATTTGAAAAGATTTGGCTACAGAAAGAAAAATCCATCAGCCCTGTTTCCAGAAGTATAAGTACATCAAAATTGAACGAAGACGTAAGTAATACAACTTCTTGAAAACGTAAATCAAGACCACGCACATTAAAGGATAAAATATGAAGAGAATTTTCAACAGAAGATTCTCTAGGAAGATAACACTTCCATTTAGAGAAACAAGAAGATAATAAAGGGCTACTTTCCCACTCACGTAGAATTTCGTTAAGAAGAAAGAAATCAAAATCAGATAGACAAGAACGCGCCTGACATAAAAATATATCTCTATTGGAAAGTAGAGTATGTGAAGTACAGGAAAAAAAAGGAGTAGCAAAAGGCGAAAGAGTCATGACAAGTCTTTACCTTCTAGGGCTAATTCCAGTTTTGTACGAATTATTTCGAAATTTGTCTTAAGACCAGGATCCATAGGACGACCATGTTGATCGTGATTAAGTAAAAGAATAACTTTGGACATTTCATCGAGCATTGGCATCAATAATTTCACTAAAATATTTTCATACCTTTTCAATTTTAATTCATGTTGAACTTGATTGGCTTCTAAAGCTTTATCATTATGTTTTAATACATTTATTTCTTGTTGAATAATTTTATCACTATCTGTTTTATCCTTCATAAATTTCTCGAATTTTTCGTTACATAATGTTATTTTAGAGATATTGTCGTTCATTTTTTCCATGTTAATAGCAAGTTCATTGAGTTTAGATAATATCATATTGTGTGAACCAGTAATAGATGAATTATGTGAAGGATTTAATTGAGGAAATTGAACAGGATCATATTTAAAACAGTTGAATGTTGATGTTGAATTATAGTTCATGGATAATAATTTTTTGGTTAATGCAGCACGAAATTGTTTGACCACCGGGCAGCTCACCACATTCGATAAATGTTCACCTCCACAATGAATACATTTGGGCTGATTTGAACATAGATGTTGTTTTAAATCCGGGAAAGATAGTCCACAAGTTTTACATGTTTCATTGGATTGTGTGCATTGGCGTTTAAAGTGGCCAATGCCACAACACTTGCTACAGATGAGTACTCTAGCAGGAGCAATATATTCTTCTACATCGAATGATCTATAATTAATATTAATTTTACCAGCAGATAAAATCTGATCACGAGCTAAAGTTGAAACAAATTCAATTTTAACCATTTTAATGTCTTGCTGAAATTTATTCTTTAATCTAATGACATTCTTAATTTCAGGAAATTTTGCTTTTAAATCACCAGAAAAATCATTCATATCCGTATGAAAATCAACATGTTTTATAATAAGTGATAATTGAGGAGGAATAGTAGGTGACGAAGGAAATGTATAAAATTGAGATCCTATTTGTGGTGGCCATTTATCTTCATCTAGAAGACTAGTAAATGAATTAGCATCTTTAACAAAAAGCAGAATATCATATTCAATGGAGGAGCATTTGAACGTTGATGATCTATAGTTAAAAAATAAAATATCAATTTGATGTTCATTTTTAAAAAATAAGGAAATTTCTTCAGCAGCTTGTTTGTCCTTGACATTTCCAGTTGAAAAACGAATTATAAATGGTGAAAATGGAAATCTGGTTTGTGCATAACGTGTTGCAGCCATGGTAATATCAGGGTGGTGTTGAGATGAATCATGTGTTGCTTTGTGGTGCATCAAATTAGAATTAGTGATAATGCGGTGATTATGTAATTGAGATGAAGATTGACAATTGTTGTTGTTAACAGAAGAAGAAGATTGTTGGTACAGCTGATTCTTATGGTACATCAAATTATTATTATTATTATTTTTTTTTTTCTTCTTGTACGTGACCATTGTAAAATCATCATCATGGTCGTCAGAATGTAAACGTCTAATAGATCTTGCAGGTGAATCAATAGATTGAATATTAATTGGAGGTGATGATGGTGCTTGAATGTTATTTTGTGGACTATTTCTGTTGGTGTAATAATGAATATTAGTAGTTGGATCATATACATAATCATTGACTAAATTTAACGAATTACTAACCATTTGAGCTGTTGAATCATGACGAGAATTGTGAACCTGTTTATGAAGAATGAACTGGTTCTGTTGATTGTGATAATTGGCCGCCATGAGGTGGACTAATTAACAACAAATCACAGATCACGTCGAACACGTGATAGAAAGAACAAAGGTCAACAAGGACAGAAATGAATGTGTGCGTGTGTATATGAGATAACAGAAACGACGAAAAAAAGATTATGTGTTTTTTTTTCTTCTAGAATTATTACTTAAAAATAATTCTCTAAGAAGATTATTATAAATGTTATGTTCTCTGATATCAAATTATTTGATAAAAATTTATCTATTTTTGTTAATAGAGAATTTCAATAAAGATGAATTGTAGAGAAAAATAAAAAAAACATTGAATATTTGAAGAATGTAATTCGTTTTGAATATAACTTATTAGTTGTGATTTTTTTTTTCTTTTTTCATAAACTCCTAATAGCATTTCACAAGGAACACCGATAAATGAAAGGGTTTAATCATAACGATAGATAGATATGATTATGTAACGAGATAGCTCTATTTATAAGACTATGAAAAGAGGAACGTTTTTTTAAAATTATTCGTTAATATATGCGAACAATTTTTAACCATAATAACAATAATTTGATATGTTTTAATAAATTATTCGAATAACTATATATATATATATATCTTGATTGTATAAATAAATGACCGACAAGTTTTACCGATATGTCAGACGGGTATAACTCGAAGAAAAAGAAATCGAACTAAAGATAATAATTGATGATACTCTTTATATTGATAATCAGCAACTAACTCTCAAAAAAAGGTTCAACGTTCGAGCGAATGTTTATCCCTGACACTGTTAAAAAGAAAACTAGAACTATCGTTTCTGATTAATAAAAACGAACTCGTTAAACTTTCGAATGTTATTAATAAAATAGAAAACGTATATAGAATTTATTTCAAGTTATTCATTTTATCTTCTATCTATGTGAAATAAGATAATTTGCACATTATTACTTAACATATTATGAAAGTCTGAGGAACAAATGAGTTTTTTTCGTTTAATGGAATCAACAACTTAACGATGAATTAATCGTTTCCTTTACTAATGAATCACCAAAGAAAAACAACTTTACAGATGACTTTATTTATCGAATAGTTATCGTTGATAAAACGACTTCATTGATTTATTTTAGCTAAATCATCTGCACTATCTCGAAACGATCCAACAACAAACACCTATATATTATGGAACTATTTCATGATATACTCATTGTCTTTATAGAGCAAATTCTATAATAATTTTATTTATTAAATAATCTGATTAACTTCTATATAGATGTTATTATTGTAATGCACCTGATAAAAGTGAATCTATCTTTGCTAATTCTAATATATCCGAAATAGATAACTAGTCTCTCTGAGAGAAGATTCAATAAGACGATTATCGAATGATGATATTATTGATAAACTATAAATGATTTGTTATTTATCATAAACGTCTATAATTTAGTTCTACTGATCATCTATAACATAGGTGCAACTAATAAAAAAAGATAATTTATATTAAACTGTGTTGAATAAATCATAGTTAGAATTGTTAATCATCTTTATAACGTTGAATTAAATTTTATATAAAATATCTCGGAAAATATTTCTGATAAATATTCTCTAAAATTGATCAATCTTTTAATTATGTAAATAAACCACATAGATATATATAAAACAGACATTTATTCATATTTTAATAAAACTCATTAATTATTTGAATTTCTTGTTAAACGAACGATATGTTATTAAATAAGAATTTCTAATAATCTTCTCAAATCTAGACCATTAGGATAAAAAAGACTCGAAATTATTTTCAGATAAAAGTGACTCTTATCAATCGAAACATTCATTATGTAACGTTCGAAATAAAAAAGCAAACGTTGTGTCTGTTTCAGAATTTGTTACTAGAATACGAAATTTAATTAATATGTAGTTGAAGTTATTGATATTCTCTTTTATTTGTAGGAAATAGTAGAGTTTAGTTATTTTTTTTTTGGAAATACAATCAAAACTAGAAAGGAAGGAATTCGGTTTTTTTTTCCAATAAAACATATAACTTAGAAAAAAAACAAATAAATCTTTGTTGTTAAGGTAGAGATTGATTTTAGTTTAAATTTGAACATAGATTCGATAAACGTTTTTCTATACTAATATATTGAATAATCTATATTGATAGAAATATTAATTTAAATATAGTATGACATCAGTATTGACCTTAACCTTCTAAATAGTATACATCTGATCGTTCTATAATCCGTAGAGATAAATCGAAAAAATTTATTCGAAAACCGATATTAAAATCTGAAAGGAATGGCATTGAATAAGACCGGTGAAAAGAATTTTTTAAAAAGCTTCTACTATTATTTTCTATTTATGTGTAGAGTTTCTGTTTGTGGTTAAATAAATATATCTTTCCTCATCTTTTCTGATCATATTGATTTGTTGAATGAGTTGAACCTAAGAATGAAAACTGTCATTTTTCAATTTCTATTCTTGATCAATCGTTTTATAAATTTATAGGAAAACGATTAGAAAAATAAAACAGTAAAAAATAATCGTATTGTTATGTGTGTCTTGAAAATATTCTTCCCAATAGTGTCGTTGGTATCCTTGTAAATTAATTAAAACGTTAGTAAACGATCTAATTATATAACTATAACGATCGAAATCATATCGATAGAAATAGATTATATATTTAAGTTTATTGTTAAACAATTCTTCTAGATAAACATATTCAACTATTCTCCATGGAATTCTCGGGAATGTACAGACGAATGCAAATTGATCTGTTCCGTTACATAATTGACATTTTTTTTAACGTTGCCTTATATAACCTAGGATGTTAAAATAATTGCCGAAATGTCGAGGCACTGTTCTCCGTTTGTGAAAATCTTGGAAAGTAAGTTTTTTTTTCTATTAAAAAGAAAAGATCTATGTCTGAACTAGGAATTTTGTAGCAACCATATTTTCGAGAACGAGTTTAAGAAGCAGGAGAAGGCAAAAAGCAAGCATATCTAGACAAAATTCTCGGAACTTTAATTCAGATTGAAAAAGGTCTATTTCTCGATTATTTCCGGCTATATGAACTAAACATTCACAAGAAAATATATGAAAATCTAGCCAATGAAAAACTCTATCGATATGACCATTGTGAAAAAAATTTCGATCTATTCTCGACGGTTTAATCGAATATTTAAAAAATAAAATTTTTCGCAAAAATGCCTTTTTTTTTACCAAGAACTATCGATCTGAACGAATATTAGCCATTACCTTTGGAAAATACATGTCATACTCTTTTGTTTTTCATTATTTCTTCAAAATATATCAACTCATTGAAATAAAACGAGAAAATGTTCTTCAATGAGCATTTGTTTTACCACTGGAAAACGATCAGAGAGTGAAAGTAACCAAATTGTTTAGTCTCTCTCAGACACAACAATGTCTTTCTATTTAACAGTAAGACCTAATTTACTTACAATTAACGATTTAAATGAGTGCTCTTTGGTCTACAAGAGTTACCATTGAAAGTGTTTTTTCATTCTCTTCTAGCATTAAAAAAATTCAAAGAAATAAAAATTGATGTGATTCACTCGCCAACTTACAAAAACTTTTCTATAACCTTCTTATAATAAATAGTTTCTTATAATAAAAAAACAAAATATTAGATATAGATTACAAATAAAAACAAATTGATATAGAATCTATAAATGAGATTAAATATGGTTAAATATTCTCACGTGACAATAAATATTTAATATCAATATTATCGTTATGTTGATAAATTATCATTTGAACGTTTTTTCATTGGATATTCATCGTTCAGATGGCAAACGAAAACACATAATACACTATAGAATAGTCAGTGTGTCCGTGCCTCCGGTTGGCTGTTCACATGATAACTTTTGACAACAGAGTCAGATTGCGATGAAACTTTCTACAAAGCTTAGTCTTGACAATATCTCGGTCGAGTTTGAAGGTGAGAAGGATCGACCGAGCCGTTCCTGAGTTATTGCAAAAATACCCATTTTTGTGTACTCAAAAAGTGAGTACACTCTAGAATCGGTCAGTGTGTCCGGCCGTTTACACGATAACTTTTGAAAGGAGAGTCAGATCACGATGAAATTTTCTACACAGTTTAGTCTTAACAATATCTCGGTCGAGTTCGAAGATGAGAATGATTGGCCGAACCATTGCTGAGTTATTGCAAAAATAGTCATTTTTCCCTATGAGAAGATAGACCCTTCTCTGTTTTCATAAAAAACTTTTCCCATCATAGTCAAATAAAACCCCAACTATTATATACCATTCGATAGAGAATTTCGCGAGCTACAAAATGGTATATAAAACATAAAGAAACAAGAAAGCTAACTCGCCTATTGCAAAGATAATTAATCGGAATTCGGTTCTGTTTTTGTCCACGCTCTATGCGATCCACAATTCGAGCTCTATCTTCCCATCACAGAGATGATAGTTCGAGGTTTTCTAGAATGGAGAACTCGAATCTATGTTCCATTCGTCTCGAAATCCCATTAGTTGAGCAGTAACCAATAGAAATCAAGTTATAGGAAAAACGAGTTTCTTAGGGTAAATCAAGGTGAAGAGTTCAAATCTGAGGTGTATTTGCCTCCAAATCGTATTGGCTGAGCAATAGCCAATAGAAATTAAGTGTTTACAGAAAGGGTTTGCCAGGACAATTTTGATGTCCACACATTCTAGGGTGACTCATCTGTCTCATTCACTTTTTGAAGTACACATAACTCTCGGATTTAAATCCGAGGTTTCCACATTTTTACCTATAGCTTTCTGTGGAAAAATAGACCCATCGCGGCTTTCGTAAAAGACTTTTCCTATCGCAGTCAATTAAAATCCCAACTATTATATACCATTCGATAGAGAATTTCAAGAGCTACAAAATGATATATAAAACATAAAGAAATAAGAAGGTTGACTCACCTATCACA